TGAAAATTTCTGAAAACTATTGTCTTTTTTGTTCAAAAATAGCTTAATTTCTTGTAATGAAATGACAAACCGATTATAAACTTAACCGCAAATGCGCCATCGAACATTGTGGTATATCAAAATCCCTGAATACTGGCACTCAGTTTCCTGTAATAATTGTGGAAATTGTCGTGTATTAAGACCTCTTGAGTTTATAAAGTTTATGACTTTTATTACAACTGTCATTACATTGGAAAATGTTTTTAAACCTTGCTTCGAACATAGAACTTGCTGGTGTGTTATACAATGAAATTCAATCAGAGAATGTGTAATATTTGACTTAAGATAATGAATAAAACCAATGTTTTTCCACACCATATTGCGTGCACCGTTTGTTGTTACATCAACTAATTTCCGTACGTCAATATCCATTTCTATACATGCAATAACATATTATTTAAAAATATCGACTGATACACTTCTCTTTCAACGATATTAGTTTTATTATCTTTTCTTTCATTATATTGCCAGATTTATATCAAGCAAAAACTGAACACCTTCATTTCCATTGACAAGTTAACTGATCAAGTTTACATAGCGTTACGAAAAACTCGGTCCTTAAAGCCACGTATGAATTTTTTTTTTTNAGATGGCGCAACTTCATAACATGTGTCATTGTTTAGTATTTATAATTCTCTTCATTGTTGTTGTCGTTATTAATTAATATTAATTTTAATATTCCTCCTATATTATTTATTAATGTTATCAATTATTATGTTGTCCAATTGTTGCTCAGATGGCGCTACTTCTTTGCATTCTGTGTTGCCATTTTTTATTTAACAGCTTAGTACAATTGAACCTCGCTTAACGAGCACTTCGAATAACGAGAAAATCAAATGTTTTAAAAATGACTCGAGTAACGAGCGAAGTTTTTCAAAACGAGTGAAAAGATAAGGGGAAGTCACGGATTGTGTAAATTAGGGTTTATTAAACTGCATCCCAGTTGTTTTTCCAACCCAGGAAATATCCCGGAAAATTCTTCTCATCCCAGGAAATTTCTTGAAAATTCACTTTTTTCTTATTTCCTGCCTATGAAGGAGATAACTCCGGCAAAGCTTATTTTATCTTCTATTAAATGTTGTTTATGACATTAGAAAATTTTGAAATTATACACTCAATGAAAGTTTAAGTTTTGGACAATTTTTGCGGTTTCCCACCGATTGAAGAAGTATATATGATCGAAAATTTCGTGATGTATTGGAATTTTTACGGTAACTGATGCACATCTGTCTAGAAACCGGTCTTCCCCTGCTATCTGTATGAGAATATTCAGCGACTTTCTATTAACAGATGTTCTGGAGGACATTACGCTAAGTACACCGAACTGTGGCGTGTGTCACGTGATCCGTCGCAATTTTTTGTTATGTGAAAAACAATTCGTTTTTAAATAATATGCAATAAAGGAAATTAAGTTATATGCTACAATGTTTGAGAAATGTATTTTTCATAAATTGATGTATTAAAAGTTTTTTTAATTTTTCGTGGAAGTTTTTACTGTAAAGCACAAAAAACAATGTTAGTTTCATGAGGTTAAGTTTAGCATATAATATAAGTAATAACACAAAAATTTTAAAAAATTATCAGAAAATAACGTAATACAAGCGAGTATTTACAGTAACACGTTCAGATGTGTATAAAACCTACTTCCCCTCAGGCTGTTGTTGGGAACAACCCGCGAAACTTTAGAAGCAGCTGTTTTCAAGGTCATCTGTACTAATGTGTATCTGTACTGAAGCTTGTAAGCTTGTATCAGATGTCTCTTTGCCAGTATTGTGTTACATGACAAATAATAAGTTTCTAAATCATACATTATAAAATAAATAAAGATTTATACTAAAATTATTNTTTTTCCTGTAAAGCACAAAAAACAATGTTAGTTTCATGAGGTTAAGTTTAGCATATAATATAAGTAATAACACAAAAATTTTAAAAAATTATCAGAAAATAACGTAATACAAGCGAGTCTTTACAGTAACACGTTCAGATGTGTGTAGAAAACCTAGTTCCCCTCAGGCTGTTGTTGGGAACAACCCGCGAAACTTTACAAGCAGCTGTTTTCAAGGTCATCTGTACTGATGTGTATCTGTACTGAAGCTTGTAAGCTTGTATCAGATGTCTCTTTGCCAGTATTGTGTTACATGACAAATAATAAGTTTCTAAATAATACATTATAAAATAAATAAAGATTTATACTAAAATTATTTATAAATTTATTTTATAAAATGGTCTATTATAAATTATTCTGATTTTTTGTCGAAGCGTATCGTAAATCTTTTTATATGAACATATAAGGCTAGAAACTATTATAGAATAAGTATTATTGTGATATAAATAATTTTTTGTATTTGTGTAAAAATATTCATATAAAAAAGCTTTTATAATAAAAGTTCTTTGACACTCCTGCATGAAATTGTAAAATCCTAGAAGAAAACAAAATAACAGGATTGTCTAGAGTAATTTCTTCTTATCTTTATGTATCGATTGTTTTGTACATATTATTGAATATTTTGTTGCAGTTACTATTTTTTATTATATTTTTATCTAAAACCATTTGATCTAATTTTATCTATAAAACACAAATTTACAATAGTAGGTTTTTCGAATTATTCATATTATAACAAAAATATTTTAGTAAAAGAAAATATGCTATTCATATTTCTATAAATTTATATACCTATATATTACATATATTTACCTATATACACCTNAGTATTCACCCTACTTTAAACCCTTGTCTTCCCGAGACCTCTATGAGAATGTCCCGGGAAATCCGACAACAGATGTTCTCAAGGTCATCCAGCTGTAAACAGATGACTCATCGCTGTCAAATTTCACAGAAATGCCAGACAAAGGAAGTTAACCTTTGAAGCTTTTTCTTCAAAATTAACACATTTCTTTCATTTTATTTAGTTTTAAGTATTTTTTATGTTTAATTATAATTAATTAAAAATTGATCGAGAATCAAGGAGTTTATTGTGCATAACCATTTACATCATTACTCTTATTTAAAGCAATTGAATTTTGGCATAATTGAAGTCATTATGTATTTGCAACAAATATTTATTTTTAATTCTATTGTTTCGTCTTTAATTGTATTGCGACTTATTGGTAACTCATCTATTCGCTTTATAGTCAAGTCTTATTTCTTAAAATCTGCAAACAAAGTACAGTAGAGCATCGATTAATCCGACCACCGATCAACTGTCACATCGGTTAACGGACCCCGTTCTAGTCGACAAATTCAAATGTCCGCTAGTGATGTGGCGCTACAATATTTGGCTATGTCTTGGCTACTTTAATATTATTTTTACGTGTTTTAGCTAGCAACACTGGCTCGACCATGAAAGGGAGCCTGTATTTAAACGAGGTTTAATTTTTTATTTTTTAATGATAAAATAGCGACGATTATTATTTTTGAAAATTTTTGTATGGCTTAACATCGATGAAAATTCAACGGAAAGTACGTTAATAGCTATATACTAATATACTAATTACATGGGATATCCTAATATACTATACTAATAATGTATATTTTCATATTTTTCGGTTATCCGTTTTTTCAGTTATCCGACCAACGCTAGTCCCCAACTGATGTTCTACTGTAGTACCACATTCTAAAAACGCATGTTTTACAAACTCTCCTTCTAAAAGAGGTTTTCCGTGGCGAGCAATGCAATAAGCAACTTGAAAAATAGCAGCTGTAACCTTTTTTTGGAATAAAATAAGATTCGAGTCAAAATTATAATGCAACTTTTCAAAATTTCTTTTTACATTGTCTGTACGTGACTTTGCCGGCCACGACCACAAGATTGTCCACGATGAAACGATCCATTTTCAGTAAAATTAACCATATCCAATTTCGAAAATTTTCATCGTTGCGTATCGCCCGGGGTTTAATTTATGGCATGCATAACGAAAATTTTCTATTTTTGAAAAAATAATCCTGGCTATCGTAACGTCCGAAATTATATCTATATTTTGAAGAAGCAATATATATATATTTATATATTAATAAATGTAGAAAAAACAAATTATATTTCAAAAGTTAGTTTTAATATAAAATTACGACATATAACGACTTGCCCCATGTACAGTATTACCAGAGGATGCGAAATTAATCAGATTCGAAAGTGAGATCGCATCATGAAAATGTCGTAAAATGTATCATTTTTCCTCATATGGTTACCTGTAAAAACAAATAATTTGTTCCAAATAATGGTAAATCCAAGACAAGATGGAAAAAAAATCGTAATAGACTTAAACGGCTAACTTAAACAAAGATAATGATGATAACAACATTCTTTACATTTTTTGCAGATACTATTTTAATTACAATCAAAACATTTTACTGCGAAAATTCATATAAACAATTTGAAAACAAAAGCAAGTTTCCTGCTTTGATTTTTACTTCGGTGTTTTCATTTTTGTTTTCACTGTGGCTTATATAATAGTTTTCAAGTACAGAACATCAAATCTATTCATACATTTGATGTTCTGTACTTGTAATTGTAATTCTGTAAAAAATTGTATTTCATTTAAGTAATATAATTCTTACTCCTATAATATGTAATATAATGTTAAGTTTTTGGACTCTTTTTTTCACAATTGTATACATTTTATATGAAAGGCGAGTAAGGTTTCGCGAACTGCCTGACATATAACCATAGTGTTTGTGTTAATAAGACTTACATATTAATTAGTCAAATATTTTAAATGTTTTTATTAAATTTGGATTTGTATAATTTTTATTCTGTAGCTTATCAAAAAAATATTAAAATGAAATACAAGTATTTTGTATCGAACACATCATTAACATATATGTTCAGCCCATTTTATGAAATACGGATAAATACTAACATATCGTTAACTACAATTTAATTTACGTAAACGTAAATATGAGAAATTATCAATGTTATAAATAAATCAAAATCAATAAACAGCAAAAAATAGTATTATTGTGAAGCAGATTTAATAACAATAACCATATACATTTTATTTTCGTACTTTTTATCTATAAAAATATGAATTACAATTTATGAGTAAAGTTTAACAATAGGTAGAATTATTTCGATGCAGTTTCTAAATGCATTCGTCGAGATTATATGATACAGGCTTTTGTTTATATTGATATACGATTGAAACGAAAATTACCCAAATCTTAGTTAATATTTTACAACATTCGTCTTTTTTCTACACACATTCTTATACCCGATATTGGGGTCAACATACTTGCGTATGAGATTAAGATTTTATCCTGAGGATCTAAAGAGTAAACTTTAAAATTACGAAGAACATTTGCCAAAACCATTTTTATCATAATCATGGCGAGTTTACTTCCTGTAAATAAATTATTTTAATGACCTAATTCTTTGTGTCTGTATTTATTCACTAATCACTTACCGAGACAATTTCGTGGACCGACAGCAAATGCCAGATATGCATAAGGATGAAGATTTTTATAGTTTTCAAATAGGAAACGGTCTGGATCGAACACTTCGGGATTTTCGTAAACAGAAGGATTATGATGAATACCATAGATATTTATGATAAAAGTGGAATTTGCAGGCAGCACGTAATTACCTATTTCAATGACAACGATTTAATGCTTTAAGTCAGTAACAAATATAATATATTATTATTTAAAAATAAATTGCAATATCTTAAATGTTTACCTATTTTCATTTCCGATGGATTTTTTCTTCCAATCAAAGGAAAAGGAGGATAGATTCTCATAGACTCCTGAAATTTGTACCATATAAAACTGATCTTTAAGTGTATTTAAAAAAATTAAAAAGTCACCTTAATTACGCATTCTAAGTACGTCATTTTCGTCAGGTCATCGATAGTAATATTTCTATTGAAATCATTTTTAAAAATTTCTTGCAATTCTAGATACACTTTCTCTTGTATATCGTGGAATCTTCCCAAGAAATAAAGAGCCCAGGACAGAACGTGGGCGGTTGAGTCGAAACCCTGATATTAAAATACGTTGAAAATAAATGTAAAATTGCTTTCTATATTATTGATATTTGCAGTTAAATAAATACTGTATAATAAAAATTATTGATATTTGCACAAAACATCCTCAATTTACAAATTCTGTATTTTCGATTTAAAAAGTTATTTATACCAATATAAAAGTAGATTATCATCAACGTCAAAATACAATACTAACCTCGATTTACGAACTGTTTCGATTATTCGATTAGGAATATACGGATTTAAATTAATTAATTAAATCATATGAATTTAAATTGTTTCGGACTACAAAATTTTTCGGTTATCATTTCTGATATTACTTGCTTTAAATTCTTTCAATTGTGTTTATTGTGCTTTAAATATTCTCAATTGTATTTACTTGTGCTTCGAATATTTCAATTGTGATTTCAGTACTTTCAATTTACTCAAAAAAATAAATTGATAACAGATAATAACCCACAGAACTGGTTTACAAGTTTACAAACATAATCATTTATGTTTATTTTACATAATCATTATAGAAACCGAATTCGATGTCGATAAAGTAAGGTACGACTATCCTTTTTCACCTGAATTTCTTGCTGTAATTCTGCATAATAATCTGCTTCGAAATGTTTAAAAATCATCCATAGATACACATTTTTAATTTCTCAAAATTATACTTTCCTGCGTGTAAATAAATAGAGAAAATACATATTAATTAATAAACCTTTTGTTTGATATTCAAAATTTCTTCCTATTACATTTCACATAATATAAATATAAAATGACAAATTTTAGATTTTAAAACTGCAAATTTTTAGATGTCAAAAAATTATAAATTAATACGAAATTACAAATATTATTTACTATAATAACTAATTATGAATGAAATGTAATAATTTCAATAGCATCGTAAATTAAATACAGTTTCTAATTACAAAAAAATAATTATGATTATCTTAAAAGAGGTTTTACGTTATACTTTAATTATAATTTATGTCGCCGGGTTAACTCTTTGTGAAATTACTTATATTTCAATACGTTGTTTAGAAAAACATTATATTACTTCAGAATAATAAAAATAATATCATTGAAATACACGCGTGCACGATTATATAATTATTACCGATTACACATTAAGTAAATTATGCCTACAGCTACAATAGTGCCTCCCATATCTCTGATAACGTCATCTTCCGATATTAAACCTTGTTTGACATGAAGATCCAACAGGGAATCGATCATACGCTGTTTTGGTTCCAAGTTCAATTCCTCTTCATTACGTGTTTCTTTGTTTAAGGAATGTTGCTGCTGCATATTTTTCTCGAAATGTTCTTTTCTTCTTTTGAACACCTACGCATTAAATTAAATCATTAATTACTTGAATCAAAGCAAAAATTCCATTCACAAGTTGAGCTTACCTTTTCGTCGAAACGATGAATTGTTTGAATGTCCCTATTGTAATTTTTTCCCAGTTTACTCATGAAAAAAATTGGGAAAAACCAGTACATTGGATTTACTAGCCATTCAGGATAATATTTCAAAATTCTAAATTTTAATATAAATTTATTAATATATCAAAAGATAATTAATGCATATTTAAAGCTTGAATAAGAAATAAAGTTTACTATTAAATTTACATAAAATTTAAAATTATATTTCATGTGAAATAAAATAACTTTTTTTAAATTGAAATAATTTAAAACATAAAATTTCTGTAAAAGTTTTTTCTTTTCTTATTTTTGTGTTCAAAAAATGCTAGAAAACTTTGCAATTATTTCATTTCGCAATTAATTTATTTTTGAGAAATATTAGAATTAAGTTGATGGACTGTACACTTATAAATTTTGATTCCATGTTTAAACGTTACATTTTCGCTATCATAAAGACTTTTCCTACAGTATTGAGGCAACAGAAGAAAAACACATTATTTTATTGTAAAAACGGTATGCTCTGCAGAAAGTTGGTCTGTCAGAATTTTGTCGTTCATGTTAAAAATTGTCTCTCGTGTGTAGGAAATACATAGAGTTTACGTTTAAAACATTATAACTAATAATTAAATTCATTCTAAAATCCTTAATCCATACTAAATGAACACATTGTATTCGTTTAGAACAGTGTTTCTCAACGGGGGCGATATCGCCCCATGTGAACGTTTTTCCATGTTGAGGGGGCGACTACTAACAATTAATTTTAGGGGGGCGAAAAACATTTTTCTGGGCGATATAGTAAAACATTATATTAAGAATGATTAGATATTTTATTCGTTATATCGTACAATAATTAAACGAATAACATTATACTAGTCACTAGTCTATTTAATGCGGTACGAATTTGGCGTTAGCCTTGGCCCTGGGCATCGGAATTTTGAAGTAAAGGGGCGATACTACGTAACGGTTTTATTGAAGGGGGCGATACTACGTTGAAGGGGGCGACGATTCGTTAGAGGTTGAGAAACACTGGTTTAGAAACTCTACACATTCTCCCTACACACTTCTCTCTACACATTCTTTTAATAACTCTTTATTATGATCAGCACATATAGCTGAAACATCTCATTTATAATGTGCAAACTTTTAATATTCGGTTATTTGATAAACAATCAAAATTTAGAATAATTCGTTTCCCTTATAACGAAGTTGACTGGAACATTTTAAAAATTTCATCAGATATAAACTAACTTTATATTATTTAACACAGATATTACATTTATAAATATTATTTGAAAAATGAAGAAATATATCTGGAAATTAATTTTCCATACCTGTTTAATGCAGACACGTATTCTTGATCGTTCGTAGTCTGAGAATGTAGAGTAACTCCTACTGCTATGTCTACATAAATATAAATTGATATTTATTGTTGTTAAATAAATAAATATACGTCGTTTTGATATGATATTCAGTATCGGGAAGGCATCGCAGAACAAAGTAGATTCACTAAAAAAAACAGTAATCAAGAAAACAAAACTAAACCAAACAAAAATGTAATCAGAGGCCGTATTCTGGTGAAATCGACGAATGACGTCGAAGAGAGATACGAATTTTGTCTCTCATACATATTGGCGATTCTGGTGGTTCGTAACGATCTCGTGTTTGTTGTTGACGTAACGATTCTATTCGGTTGATTGTTCGGGTTATCTGCGCGCGTAATACGGTATAGGATTTTAACCAATGAAATTATAAAATTTTCGAAAATGCGAAGAACGTAATCATAGATCGTACTCCGCATTCACGTGACAAGGGGAATTTAAACACATGCACCTTGTCACGTGTCACGTGACAAGGTGCATGTGTTTAAATAGAGCACGTAATTTCGACCAACTTGTTTTTGTTTTATAACATTTTTACAGATTGTAATGTCAATTTGTTTTTTAACAAATAAAAATTCTAATAGCCTAAGTTAGAAAAGCGTGCATACTTGGATATTTTTCGAAATATTACTATCTAATTTCTCCTTAACTATCCAAGTGAAATTAACATCATATTCGATAGTTCAGTAATTGATATAGGATAATTTAAAAACAAATGGAATCAGTGACGTTTCTGAGTAGGCAGTGCAAAAAAATCAGAGGCATTTCTCTAGATATAGAACGTTCTCTAATACTATTGTACAGCGCAAGTAGCAGCCAGTCATCGATATTAGATATAACGAAATCGAGGCGAAAGACGATAGACTGGTCGAAAGACAACTGTCTGCTCGTCTCTGATAAGCGAGAGAAGCGAAGAGAGAAAAAGTTGTCCAGAATGGCGTTTAGAGAGACGCGATGATCTTCGAGACGAAAGCAAATGATTAGCCAATCAGCGACTAGCTTGTGAGAGACAACAGACGAGAGACGATGACCAGAATATGGCCCAAGTTTTATCGTGAAAAATTGATTATAGTTGGCTTTAGTTCTAACTACTGTCACTAGAGGGGGATAGTGTTGAAAGTCGTCCTGTGTGTCAGAATCTCAAACGAATAAATCCGTAATTGCCGTGAAACGCGTAAGTGGGAAAAATACTGTTTCAATTCTTGACTCCGTCCATTGTTGGTTTCGTTAAAAGCTGTTCAGTAGCTCACTTTTCTTACAGTGACATATTTATATGTATATATATTATTTTTTAAAATTCGTTTCATACTTTTTCTACGTGATGAGCAATAAGTGGGCAAAATAAATATTTTATTTAATGTTTACCTATAAACAAATTGATATTTATAACACTTGATTAAATATTTTACAACAGAGAGTAATACCTGCAATTATGTCGAGAGTGCAATATTTCATCCATTTCAGAATATCGAATAATTCATTTTCTTGCAATTGTTTGAGTTTTTCGACTAAGACGTTTGAATGCTCCATAAATACACTTTGATCATCTTTCAGATTCCAAACATGTCCATGTGGAGCTAAATATTTTCTTCTTCTTCTCCAATCATCGTCAGAACTTTATTTAATTAAATTCAAAAAACTGTAAACGACGATATTTCATATGTAAACTAAATATCAAATAATGCATTACCTGAGAAAAAAACTGTTGTCTCCGAGAACTGGCTTGAAGAAATCATATGTAGAATCCTTATTGATTAATCTGTTGCTTTTTAATACTTCCTACAAAACGTTATAATGAATATTTCCATTCGTAATGTATATATTACATAACTAGGCATGTTTTATTACCTTTGCAGATTCTGGATGTAAGAAAATAATTAATTTATATCCAAGTATATTTATACAGACAACTTTCTCGTTTGGAAATAGCGTAGAGAGTCCCGCAGTTACATTTAAAGCTACTAAAAAGTTACGAAAAAATATTTCATCTATTCATAAACAGTCAAATTACCCAATAAAATATTATTGACATACGTATCCCGATGTATGAATTGTGGTATTGCTTGTCACGTTGAGAAAATACAATTCTCATAGACTCCTGAAATTTGTACCATATAAAACTGATCTTTAAGTGTATTTAAAAAAATTAAAAAGTCACCTTAATTACGCATTCTAAGTACGTCATTTTCGTCAGGTCATCGATAGTAATATTTCTATTGAAATCATTTTTAAAAATTTCTTGCAATTCTAGATACACTTTCTCTTGTATATCGTGGAATCTTCCCAAGAAATAAAGAGCCCAGGACAGAACGTGGGCGGTTGAGTCGAAACCCTGATATTAAAATACGTTGAAAATAAATGTAAAATTGCTTTCTATATTATTGATATTTGCAGTTAAATAAATACTGTATAATAAAAATTATTGATATTTGCACAAAACATCCTCAATTTACAAATTCTGTATTTTCGATTTAAAAAGTTATTTATACCAATATAAAAGTAGATTATCATCAACGTCAAAATACAATACTAACCTCGATTTACGAACTGTTTCGATTATTCGATTAGGAATATACGGATTTAAATTAATTAATTAAATCATATGAATTTAAATTGTTTCTGATTACAAAATTTTTCGGTCATCATCTCTGATATTACTTGCTTTAAATTCTTTCAATTGTGTTTATTGTGCTTTAAATATTCTCAATTGTATTTACTTGTGCTTCGAATATTTCAATTGTGATTTCAGTACTTTAAATTTACTCAAAAAAATAAATTGATAACAGATAATAACCCACAGAACTGGTTTACAAGTTTACAAACATAATCATTTATGTTTATTTTACATAATCATTATAGAAACCGAATTCGATGTCGATAAAGTAAGGTACGACTATCCTTTTTCACCTGAATTTCTTGCTGTAATTCTGCATAATAATCTGCTTCGAAATGTTTAAAAATCATCCATAGATACACATTTTTAATTTCTCAAAATTATACTTTCCTGCGTGTAAATAAATAGAGAAAATACATATTAATTAATAAACCTTTTGTTTGATATTCAAAATTTCTTCCTATTACATTTCACATAATATAAATATAAAATGACAAAATTTAGATTTTAAAACTGCAAATTTTTAGATGTCAAAAAATTATAAATTAATACGAAATTACAAATATTATTTACTATAATAACTAATTATGAATGAAATGTAATAATTTCAATAGCATCGTAAATTAAATACAGTTTCTAATTACAAAAAAATAATTATGATTATCTTAAAAGAGGTTTTACGTTATACTTTAATTATAATTTATGTCGCCGGGTTAACTCTTTGTGAAATTACTTATATTTCAATACGTTGTTTAGAAAAACATTATATTACTTCAGAATAATAAAAATAATATTATTGAAATACACGCGTGCACGATTATATAATTATTACCGATTACATATTAAATAAATTATGCCTACCGCTACAATAGTGCCTCCCATATCTCTGATAACGTCTTCTTCCGATATTAATCCTTGTTTGACATGAAGATCCTACAGGGAATCGATAACACGCTGTTTTGGTTTCAAGATCAATTCCTCTTCATTACGTGTTTTTTTGTTTAAGGAATTTTGCTGCTGCATATTTTTCACGAAATTTTCTTTTCTTCTCTTGAACACCTACGCATTAAATTAAATCATTAATTACAGTGGGTGATCGGTTAACGAACATAATTCGTTCCAAGACTTTGTTCGCTATCCGAATTGTTCGTTAACCGATTATCGATTTACCATAGGTTTTAATGGGAATTTAATTAATTCGTTCTGGAGACCGCCAAAAATAAAAAAAATATGTACTTTCTTACTACGTTTATTTATACGTAATAATAAAAATACATACATGCACAGTCTTGCGTTTTTATTAGTCATGTTTTTTGCGTTTGAAAAGGTTAAAGAATCTGTCTAATGTCGATTGCTTTTCTCTCTTCTTCACGATTTTT